CATACATACATATATTGCGAAAAATTCTTTGTGCCAATACGTCACTGTACATATACATGTTTTCGTTTGTTTTTTCTACCAACAGATTTTCAACACAGCACATCAAGTAGCTTAAGCGGAAGTTCACAAACTTTCAATAAAGCGGCCACCCCTAGTGGATTCTCAACGTTTACCAGTACGCAGCAGAGCACGAATTTCGCCGGTTTTAGCAGCAAGGGTAGCGTCGGTTCAACAACTAATGCCGGCGTTGGCAAGTACACCGGTGGCTTTGGCGGATCACCAGGTGTTCTGGGTAGCGGAAAATTGGGTTATGCTGTGCAAGCAGATGGATCTGCAGCTACAACTGCAACTTTACCAAAGCTACCTGCAAATCCCAGTTTTGCAAATCGCATCGGCATTGCGGAACCTGCCGGGGTCACGTCCAGTATCGGGGCTGGTCTCAATAAGTATCAAGGAACTTTTGGTGGCCCACCCGGAGTTCTGGTTCCTTTTGACAATGTCAAAAGCGGATAACTACAGTAGGAGTAAGCACGGCTAAGAGCCGATCGCAGCGTCAAGGATTATTTATTTATACATATGCTTATACAATATAATTGAGAGTATTCTAGTTTGTCAAGCAAGTTCACATTTATAAGATGAATCGACAAAATTAAACCTACGAATCAAAACTGCTCGTATTTTAATGTAATATTTTATATAATGAAATTAAAAAATGGTATTTCTTCTACTTACCTTTTATTGACCGACTTCAAAATAGGAGGAGGTTATGAATTCGTCGAAATATTTTTTTATGTATGTTACCGCATAAATTTGGACCACGTTAACCGCTTTCTATATTTCCATTTTTGAGTAGGTGGTACCACCGAGGGTGTCCCATACTAATTTGGTTTAGATTCGATCATTGGATCATGAAGAAATTAACGTTACTCTTACAGCCTTATCATGAATTTTCATTCCGTGGACTCGTTTACATTTCGCCCAAGCAGTTCACTTATTGTATGTTGAATATTCACTAGGGATGTGCCGGATAGAGATTTTCGCCGCATAACCCGATTCCGGATACTATGTAAAAAAAAAAGAGCCGGATTCGGATATGTGATCTGATATCCGGTAGACTGCTGCCTTAATAAATTTCACAAATTTGTTATATTAGGTTATGTTTTCGAGATGAACTATCCAATATGCAATTAGGAATACAAAATTTCTCATCTGAAATCCAAGCTATAAAATAATCCTGTATTAAAGAGATAACTTATCCGTCTGCAGCCCCGATTTATCGATTATTTTTGGTGAATAGAGGAGAAACGTCGAAGACCAAAAGATAAACGACAATGAACGCCGCTAAGCAAAAACGCGTAGTTGATGTATTTTTATTTTAAAATTTTATTAAAGTCGAACTATTATGCATGCTTACACATCGTCCCGCAATGCTTCATTGTTGCAATATTTTGTGACACACGTTTCAAAACTCGTTTTTTCTGACATCAAAAAATCTAAAAACTGGGTTGGCGGTGAACCATGGTACAATAATTACAGGTATTATCTTCCCAGAGAGCGCATATTCCGATCGGCCTTATTTGAAAAATATCATTGTTGCCCACACTAAAAGGTTTACTGCTAGGAGAAAGGGATATTTCCATACCCCATAAACCATATATGTACACGTATTTTTTTAAACAAACCTTCTTGCAGAGAACTTATTTAAATTGCAAAAGCTGAAAAATAAACATTTGCTTAGTAAATAAATTCAAAATTGGTATGGCTCACTTCATTTCAAACGTTTTTTCTTTTGTTTTGAAAAATTATAAAAATAAAT